TAGTTGAAAACGCGTGTAAGGCATTCTGTTTCTGGTGACTACTCTGCATATAATATAGACACATTGTGCATGCATGTCATAAAATCCTGAGTACATTGGACTCTTTACTTGCCATGCAGGAGACAGCTGCACATGAAAGTGATACTTCACACTATGTAACAATGAAACAAGTATCCCCTTTTGTTAAACTGGTTTCTATACATGCAGATCTTGTGACAAACATGACCCTTCCTTCTCTTATAGCGTTAATAACAAAAATGTATATATTATATCATTTTACTTAGCATCTTAGCAAGAAAAACACACCTACTACTTATTACAATATTTCAAGGCAAAACAACGCACAAAATTGTATTACATCATGATATCAGTTAAGACACTGCAGGTGACCATGTAAATTGATATGTCTAAAGTTTACTTCATAAAAATTCGAATGAAACAGAAACTTGTTACAATGAATGAATACCTTCATTCGATGGAAAAGAGACCTCTATTAAAGTTTTTCTTTTGTATTATGTTACTTCATTCCATTTAATCCATGTGCATATAGTTTGCAATCTATTTATCAATATTAAATATTTCTGATATAAATATTTTACGAACATGATATATTACGGAATTTAAGAAACGTTTAAGTAAAATTTAATTGTTTTCAAATTTTTATGTCATAGTCCTGAAAATGGTAATACCACTGTCGGTACGAATGAACATTCGACACCTGCATGAAAGGTACAGATTGAGCCGCCAGAGTGCAGCAAGTGACGGATAATTGAAAACCAAAAGTGAACGAAAGGAGCGCTGCAAGCAAAACCGGTCGACGTGTTCTTGACACGAGACTTATGAAAAAAAAAAGTACTTTTCTTTTTTTCTTTAATATTTAAGGAAAAATCGTGTAAATGCTAGAACACCTATAAACGATGAAAAAATGAAAACTTACCCATGTATGTCTACGTGTAGAATGCATTGTCAGTTTCAAACTGCAACTGCCGTATCCAACCTCTAACCGACGGACTGCAGGTTCAAGGTTTCAGTTTTCAAGAAAACATCACTTGTCGCTTCGTAATAAATATCCACTCACTATCACAGCATTATCACTTCGTATATATTTCCTCTGCGGGCAAGGACAACAATTTCCAACACACTTTTCGAACGACATATTCAGAAACGAAATTCTTAGACCCGAAACAGTCGCATGGCATGGCGACCGCGGTTACAACTTGATATACACGGTGTTTTAAACGAACGTCACACACTTGATCTTTAATGCCATTGGCTGATTTCAAAACAGCCAACCAATCAACGTTGAGATTTTCTTAGTACGCGGGAAAGTAAAGCAGACTGTGCTAAAAATAACAAAAATACATTGAAGAGACTTATATTACTTTTATGGTGAAAAATGGTTTGTAAACCTATTATACAATTTTTCTTCCCATAAATTTCACTGTGAAAGTTTAATACATAAAAATAATCATGCACATTTGCACTAAATGCAAGAACAATTATATATGTGTGTGGTTGCACATTGCCGCCATTGTTTTATCCATCCGCATTGATTTCAAATCGAAAATTGTGATTATATAAGATACTAATTTATATTGTTAATAATAATAAAATATTGCTACTATATAGATTTTACCATACATTAAATGTCAAGTACGTTGATATTATTGTTGACACATAAATATCAAAATAAGATAGGAACTTTAAAAATATTTTTAAAATAAATTTAAATTACACTTCAAGCTATAATAAACTTGTTAAAAGGATAATATAAGAATGATTCTTGGTAATACACGTCAATATTGAATGTAATGAATTCTAAAATACACTTCAATTTAAATACTACGTTTCTCGTTTATACCAATATCTCATATTTTTATTCTTCTTTGGTTTCTTATTATGATTTTTATTTATGGCGTAGAATTTGTTTATATATTATGCTTAATTATAAATCTATATACAATACATAATGTAACGTAAATTTGATTGATATTATTTATAAGAAATCGATTATATTAATCACAAAAATGATAAATTATAACATTGAATAAATATAAAAATTAATAGATTTTTTAGAAATGAAGATTTAATGGGAGGGGCAATAATAGTAACAAGCGGTGTTCAGATGGTAGTACGAAAAATAAGCGAGTGGGGATTTTGGCTGCACGATTCTCTAATGTGTGAAAGAGAAGGAAGATTTTGGCGAAAAAGGAGAGAAATAAGAGTAAGGTAATTGGGAGAAGATTGAGTAAAAGCGAGAAAAGCGAGTAGGACTTGTAGCCCTCTAGTGACGACGCAGTTAGAGTCGTCACAAGCGTGCATCAACTGGGCATGTAAATTATAGAATTTTGAAGTTTCGATATATATATATTTTTTTACCTCACCATACATTGACAAATGAATCGAAAATTAATTTCCTCTTTTCGAAAATACCGTGTGACCAAAGGCTAACAAATGATCGCTAAACGTATGCGCAAATGATGAATTATTTGAATAATTCAATAGTCGGAGGAGTGACTAGTGATTCTGGCCTCCAGTTAAACAATGTTGAAATATTGTACTCTAAAGTACAAAGAGTTTATCTTAAACCGCAACACAAAGAAGAACGTCAACGAGAACTTAGAGTTAATGTGGAAATCCATGCCGGTATCAGTCCTGTTTGTCGTAAGGTAATATTTTATTCAACGATTACGTTAACCTATCCTGTGTTGACATATAAATTTGTACACTTGCAATACATTTATATTCTTTCATCAATTATTATGTTTTATACTTTATTCATATTTTACTTGTTGACTAATATTATTTATTATTATCTTGCGTTTCAAAAAGTTTTTACATAATATCTGAAAAAAATAACATTGTATGTTTACATTACAGAGTTTATGTGTTTTGTTGGCAGATGATGATGATCCCTGCTTTTTGTACTCATTATTTATAACAGAAGAGGATTTTAAAGTATTAAAATCTCAGCAGGGATTGTTAGTAGACTTTGATAACTTTGCAACTCAATTAATATGTTTGTTAGAACAATGTCAAATGCCATCAGTAAATTTATCAAAATCTCCACCAAAATTTTTATTGTTATTGGCAGAAGAAAATGGAGAATGGATATTAAAACTGGTTGAAACGAATAATTTTAAACATTTATGTCATTTAAGTCTGAATATATCACCTGCAAGTGATACTGATTTAAAAACTCATATGGCCATGAAGATTAAACAATTAAAAGAAAATATTCTGCAACAAAGTAGAAATACAGTTACGCTTGAAGCTAGATTAACTGATTTGACAAATAAAGTAGAGACAAAAACAAAACTATTGGAACAATTAGAACAGAAGTATATGGCAGAAAAAAGTCAAATGCAATTATCTTCATCTGAACAAATAAGTTTAGAAAAAGATAGGTATGTGAAACTATATTAGATTTGATGAAATATGTTCACTATGCATATTATAGATTATTATTGATTGGTTATTAATTATTAGTTATTGATATTTTACAGATTTGCTAAAGCTCGATTAGATTGGCAATGTCAAAATGAGAAAGAAAAGGTAGAAGTAGAACGTAGACACACAGAAATTGTAAAAGAATTGCATACAGAGATTGCAGAATTACGTACACAAAATTTAACATACAAAGACAAGTTATCCCTTCTTGAAGCAACAAATATGGAACAAACAAAGCAGTTGCAAAATCTTGAAAAAGACCTTAATGTGGCACAAAGAGATTTAAATCTATTAAAGAAACAAAATTCTAAATTAGATACAGATTATCATGAAAAAGATAAATCTGTGAATAGCTTGAGAACTAAAGTTGCTGTACTTGAACAAGAACTGAAAGACAAAGGTATACTCATTAGTAAACATACAGAAATGCTGAAAACTGCGAAGGAACAGAAACAACAATTTGAAGATCTCTTAGCTGATAAAGAAGGACAGTTACAGCGAAAACAAAATTCCTTACGAAATTTAAGTGATGAATTAGTTAAAGCTAATGAAATATTGACAAAATTACAAAATGAACTTGCTTCTACTAAATCTAAATTAAAACTAAGAACTAGTATAGCACTTGAGCAAGAACGGTTATTAGATACTAAACAGAAAGAGGTTGGCCAATTAGAAAATAAAATGGAGACCTTGGTTAAAGAAACAAAAGATGCGAGAACAGAGGTGGAAAATTTAAAAGAGCAACTTAAAATTCAACAAAACCAATTAGAAGAGAAAGAAAAAATAATAAAAAATAATGATAATGGTAAGGAACCACTTTTGTTAAGTATTATTAGGAATATTCTAATTTACTTATAATATTGAAGAACAAATTTTTACTATACACTGTTGAAAATTTTCTTTCAAGAAATAATGTAGAATGTTGTAGTTTTATTACTCTGATGTATATTTACAGTGATTAGTTGGTTAAATCGACGATTAGCAGACAGTCAGTCTCCACTACAAAATGCTACTGTAACAGCTCCAATTACTGTACCTTCTTCAGTTCAGTTGACATTACCAAGAACAAATAAATTAATTACAAGTAAATTTGAAACACGTACACCTGCACTTAGTACAATACAATCAAATATGCTATCTGGGCTACCAATGAGAAATCCAATTGTGCAGAATCCAAATATCAATCAGACAACACGCATGACCGCGCGATCTATGGGTGTTGGTATTACTGATAGTACAATGGGCATATCATCATTTAATAAAAGTGGCCAAATATCAAGTACCAGTACTCCTATGGAACGGATTAATTCTTTAAATAAGTTATCCGGAAATATCGCTGGTTCTTCTTCAATGCCAGCTGTTATAGAAAATAATAACTCATCTGTACCATCAAATGGTACGAAAGCAAAAAGTTCAAGTGCTGGTTTACAGGGTGGATTAAGAAAAGCTGGTTTATCTGACAAACCAATTTTGCCATCTGCATATTTTCCCAAAACTTTACATTAATCAAAAACATAAGCAGCATTGCGAATGTATACATAAAATATTAATATACAAACATCAAACTTGTGTTATTGTCATGAAAAAGAATGTTGTAGATGCAAACAGCATTCGAATTAAATTAACAATATTTCAAATTTGATGGTAAAAAACAGTACAAAATAGTTACTCAATTAATAAGTATTATTAAATGGGTTTAGATTCCAGTTTAAAAAATATTGTTATAAATTTATGTATATCTATAAGAAAACAACAGGTATACTTATTTTCTTACACTACAATAAGAATGTTAAGAAATGTATCTATATAATTGTGAGGAACATGTCTATATAAGTAATTACCATTTACAATGGAAAATAATAACATAATCTTTTGAATTTTTGCACATAACGTGTAGTACCTGTGCTTATATTAAGTACTAACATTTCGGAAAGAATCATCACAAAGTGATAGACATACGAACATTATTATAAGATAACTGTATTCTGTATACAATAATTATACATGACATTTTTCAAAATTTATTACTTTTGAGATTGCTCTTCATACAGATTGCATATAAATCTTTTATTGCATAGTATGTATTTCGAAATATAATGTAACAAAGTGCCAATAATGACTCAATCAACATTGCAACTCTTTTCTAAATTAACACACATCTCATTGCTCACAACATCGTTATAGATTATAAAATCATAATTTTATTTTATGAGAAGGTACCTGGAAAAATCTTAAACAGGCGCTGAAGACTATGTAAATATTATTTTTTATAAATGTTTTAAGAGCATGAAGCATCGAACAGTAATGTAATAATCGACAGTATTAAATAGTTGGTATTAAGAGAATCAATGTGCCTTATAATACAAGTTAGATTAGAAAAGTGCATTCTATTACATTTAAAATTTTCATGACACTCTTAGAGTTAATGTATATTTTTTTACCAACAACATACTAAAACTTTATAATTTTGAATAAGTTGATATAAATATTACAAATTAATAAATATAATATAATGTATTTATGTCGTACAAGATGTTTTTTAAAGTGTATTGTATTTTGCCAGTCTTACTATGGTATTTTACATTTGTAGCATTTTAATTTAGAATTATTTATTAATCAAATCAAAATCGTAGTACAAATGAAATTACTAAACGATAAATTTTAAAAACTATGTGGCTTAAAAAGATGTAAAGGAATATGTAAATATATTAAAAATACGCTACTTTTATTATGAATAAACGAGATGTATTGTTTAAGAATCTCCTTATAGTGTATCTTACAGATGTGTTTAACACGAATTATTTCTAGTCTGTAAGGTACTTTATGTATATTCATTTGGTTCAGTAACACAATGATGTATTGTATTATGAAAAAAAACACATTTTGCATATACTGGTTACCATTTAATAATATACCTGATAAAAATATACACTGTAAAACAATATGCAAAATATTTGTATTAACAAAGTTTGATTAATAAACAAAATATTGTCCTAGCATAATGAAAGTCGGTATATACAGATTCGAATTTTTATTTACAATTTAGTACATTACAACCAATAGGTTTAATATATATACATGCATGATATGAGACTATTGTTTATAAAGTATAGTAATTTTTTACATTTCATAAATATAATAGTATTGAGCATGGAAAATACAAAATGATTTCGCAAATGTATAATTAATGTATTTTGCTACTTTTTGTACATAATATTTGAATAGCATATATATTACATTAGTACTGTGTACACATTCTAACATCGAATTATCCTAAAAATAAAAAGCTATTCCTACAATAAGTAGAAACTGAAGAAATAGACCTGTAACACATTCCTTATGTTATGTTCATAAGTGTTATTTGTTTTAAATATAGTAATAAACAAAATATAATGGAAGCAAGTTTTCGAAATATATAAAAAAATTTAGTGAAGTTATAAATTAAGCAAAATATAGAAAAAATATTTTAAAAAATTATTATTTGAATAATTCAAAAAGTTCTTCATATATCTCTTATTGATTATACACATATATACAGGCTTTTTCATAACATGAGGGGCCTGCTTCAATGATAATCTCAGTCACAAAAGTAATTACGAAAGTGTATATAAATATTTACATTGTTTAACAATGTTTTCAAGTTATAATTATTATTATAATCTTAAGACATGAAATTGTTAACGTTTATAGGAAGTGTACAAGCCAGTAGTTACCCATTCCTAGATTCCCCTAATATTAAAAAATTCTTTACAAAGAAAAAAATTATAAAGGCGTTTATAGAAATTATTCCATAGAAGTTGGTAGTTTACTTTACTAATACAAATTTTTCAAATAACTATGGCAATAACGCGGGAATAAAGTCAACTATACTACACATTTATGTGACTTATTCCATTGCTTTTTTGTTCTCAATCTGTTCAATATTAAAGTAGATCCTTCATGTTATAAAATATTCTGTAGATGTTTACACATTACAGATGTAAAATACTTGTTATTAAACCTCTTAAAATAAATTTTGATAAAATTAGAATCGAATTATATAATTATTTTATAAAAAAAGATCAATACTGTATACATTTTTAAAATAGAAATATGTACATCATTGCGAATTTTATTTATTCATTTGCATCCATTGTTAATGCGCCATCCATTGGTAAATCTGTACAACCTACATCTAAAAGCGGTAGGTCTATTCGTTTGCGCCTACGTTCACATTTAGGACATGGCTTATGTGCATTTAAGCAGTCTGCATGAAATACTGCATTGCAGGCTCCACACTAAAATCGTGTAAGGTATAATTAATTAATAGATAATTGGTAATAGTGATTACTTTTAATAAAATTTCGAAGTAATAATAAGTAACTTTTACTCACTCTATACGTAGACTCCATGTCAAAAGGGTATATAACTTTTGGATTATTGCAAATTTCACATATAAATCCCTTCTGACTGCAAAGCCAACAGTTTACAACATGTTTTCTTGTAAATTCTATAACCTTTTGTAATTGTTGTGCAAGGATTCCATTAGGTATGTCAAGAAGATCAGAAACAGAATACTGATGTACATGTTCGTACAAATAATCCCTGGGTGCAACTTTTTTTTGTAAAGATTCAATTATAGGTTCACGACAAGTGAATAAGTAGGCTCTTAGTAAATTTAATTGAATTCTTAATGATTGTAATTGAGCCATGGTATCCACAGCCATATAAATTCTTGGATTCAGGACTTTAAAATCCAGCAATGCTGAACAATTTTGTAAGTATGCTGCACATTTATTGCAAACAGGATAATGCTTCAAATCCCAATTGTAAATTACTCTCGATGGAATAATGTATTCATTTTGCGACATACACTTAGAACAATAATAATATCCTGAATAAGAGCAGACATGTGCTTTTGAAAAGGTCATACCAATTGCATGACCGCATTCAAAACAACAATAATTTTGTATATCTAAACCTTTTTCTTTGGGAAGTTTTCCTAATTGTTCATCCAAATTGATCTCAATCTGAAATCAATAAATAAATGTTAAACAATATAAAATATTATCAGTGTTCCACATCTTACATTGAATAAAAATGTGATATTACTGTAGTGTTTGAAATAAAGATTAATAGAAGAATATGTACAATGAAAATATATTTAATATAGTGAACATGTACCTTATTTTCTAATTGAGCTTTGTTTCCATTGTCAGTTGTTTGTTTTTCTGGATATTTTTTTAAAAATTCTTGAAGATTTGGTGTTGATGAATTGCCAGCGATGTGATAACTCTGAACAATTGATTCATATGTGGCACCATCACCTGGTGTGCGAGGTGCATCTGTTGCAGTGTCATGAGATATTACAGGTGAACTTAAGGAAGATTCGCAATCTTCAAATGATGTTGACCACCCTAATTTTCTAATTAATGAGTTGCCTACTGCAGTTGCAGTGGTATCATTCAAAGTTTCATGGTTTTGTACAATATTTGTTTCGATTTCTGAATCTTCGATACCAGATGATTTATCAATTTCTACAGTACTAGTATTTAAACCATTAGTACTTGAAATTTGCTTGTTTTCTTCTGTTTCTTGTAAATTTGGTTCATCTTTTATTTCTTGCGAATTTGGTTCTTTGTTTATTTTTTGTAAATTTGGTTCTTCTTCCATTTTTAGAGGTGAAGTATCTCTTGGACTATTCATCAGATGTTTTATACCAATATTATTTGGGTTTTTAGTAGCTAATATAATTTTTAAAGCTTCATCTTCAGTAATAGAACCTACAGTATTAAGTGCAATCTGTGATGAATTAAAAGAACCTAAGCTGCCAATAGAACTAGCTGTTTCAACTTCATCAAAATTTTCATTGTCTGTCAATTCTGTAGTTACTGTTTTTGCAATATCAACAGCACTATATACAGGGCAAGATTTCATTGGTGGTGACCATATTCCTGCTAAAAGAAGAGGCGTAGTTGACCAATAATTTAAAAGGCTACCATTACAGGCAAGCTCGAAGCGAATGTAATCTAAAGTTTCAATTAATCTCTGTGTAACTTCCACAAGATCCACATCTCTAATGAATGCAGACTGATTATAATACGGTTTTAAAGCTGAATTGTCTCTTCTGATAGAACAAAAATAGCTAGCTAACAGGCCCTCGTTTAAAGCTAATCTTATCCATGCTCTGCAATATCCAACTTCTGTAGTCAGTTGGCTGAAGGCTTGTATTTGATCTATGATCTGGCGATGCGAGAAAACTAATAATGGACCCCAAAAGCTTGGCTGAGGGATTGCATCGAAGTCTGGACCACTTAGAACTTCTGTTACACGATTTAAAAGGCTGTCTTTTAGACCGTGTAAGAAAATAGCTTCCAAAACAGAACAAAGAGTCATGCTTTCTTCGCAATTGCCGACTGAACTGTTTTCTGTGCTTGATACTCCTTGCATTTCCATCACACTTACGTTTAACTGCTTCTGCAGAGATTGTTTGACCAATGCATTTCTCTTGTTGGTCATAGAGCTCATTGTCTTCAAAAATGAATTCATCTTTCCAAATTTGATGTGACAAAAGGGCTGTAATAGTGTTAGAACTTATTCCTTCATGCATCTTCGCTTTTCTAATGAAAAAAGAGTTACCTAAATGTCCCAAGGTAACTCGGCAGAATAATCGTAAACCGTGGTAACTCAACGTAGCAAATATTAGATAAATTACATTTGCACGACTTGAACATTACGTTGATACTGACAAAGAAACGAGGAAGTGCTGCGAGAAGGAATATAAGTCATAGTGCGATAAGAAAGGCGCATGAACTTCGAACCAGTTGTAATGCATTCCAATGATATCTCCCTTTCTTATTGAATGTAAGTAAGAGACATAGGTTACGTCACGTAAAAACAAAGCACTACAAACGACCACAAATATATCATAAATTTCTTTCCTTGTCTTCGTTCCAAATCAAATTTGTTGGGACACTCCTTTCTCGTTATTTTCCTTCTTCATCAAGCGATGACTATGTACTTTTTGACATTTAAAACTCTCCAATGTAGATACATGGAACATGAATTAACAGTATTTCCGTCACAGCTTAACTTTTATTTGTACATCACACTACGTATCACAACGATAGATCGCGCTGTGATGCATATCTGTGTATAAGGACATCAGCAGGTGGTGCATTTGACATGTTGTTCTTTATTCAGGAATGCTGTCAATCGTTTGCGAGGAAAATGATATTTAGTGATATTATTAATTTAACATAGCATAATATTAACGAAATTGTACAGAGCAAATAAATAAATAATAATTATACATTTCTATTTCTTTCCCAAAATAAGAAACGAATATAGTAGTAATAATAATATCTCCTTTTCATAAACATGATCGGTAAAAGAAGTCACCTAACAATCAATGTTCAACTGTATTGATATAATAATTAATCATAGATATATTAATAAAAGAATTATAAAACAATTATAAAGGTAAATCAATTAATAATAATTTCCATTATATGAGTATGTTCTGTATGTATTTTATTAATCATTTCCAATAATTTCACTTTAGGTATTATTTAATTAATATTTCTGCACAGAATATAAACGATGAAAAGTGCCAATGATATAATTAAATACATTCTTTTAATAAATAATTGATACAAAATTTTGAATGAATATGTCAATTTTAATTTGTCTTAATATCCACTCAATGTATAATCGAATTAATTACAAAACTATTCACGACCTTGTGGAAAATGCATTTGAGTTATTTTTCGTTATTAGTTTTAATGCATTATTGAATAACTTATTTTAATGAATGGATAGGTATGATTTGTTTGTAAATTTAATATACTCCGTAATGGTACTCAATGCGCATGTGCCCTAACTCAATCTGTTACACTTTCCACTCTGATGAGGTAAGCGTATACTATTACGACTATCATGACACTGAAAATGCCTTAACAATTCCGGTCTAATTCTATGCAATATGAAGTACCATTACTTCATCATAAATTCATTCTTTAATGCATCGACAAGTATGAAAAATATTTAGTATGTAAAATATTAACAACTCATCAACTAACAATAAAAGTGACAAAAGCAATATTATTTTATTTCTAAAAAATACAATTTTGTTACTTTACTTGAAGAAGTAATTTTGAAAATAATGATCTTGTCTCCAACGCAATAAAATAACGAAATAATGGTCGAATGGATCAATTAATATTTCTCGATTATATCTTAAATTATTTCAGTGGCATTATAATTTTATGATTCACGTGTTTTCGTTCAACTTTAAATTATTTCGCAAAAAAAATACCAAAAAAAAATAAAAAATTCAAAACTGCTCTATCGACGTTAAATGATTGTAAATAAAAAATAATAATTTCCTGCAGCATAACGCTTCCTTATCACCTTTCTAGGTGATAGTAAAATAATTATTTTCTTCTGTCATTATATTAAATAACCCCAAATAAAAGTTTCTTACTAGTAAAGAAAGATGCAAAAATATCTTACATTAAAATCTTCTAGTCGTGTCATTTCGTCAATAATCTTTTTTGCAAATTTCTAAGCAAAGAAACGACAAAGTCAAATTTAAAAAAATGTTATTTAAGAATATAATAAAAAATAATTAAAAATCCACAAACTTGTTATTTAAATTTGATATTATTCTAACTAAATCGATATTTCCCATATTTCAAAGTACCTTTATTAAAAATAAAGAACCGAGACGTTATTTCCAGTTACTACGCTTTTTATTTCAATTTCAAATCAAATTTTCGCAGAACGACCGGAAAACGTGTAATTTCGCAATAGGGGTCGCGGTGTGCCCGTTATTCATGCATAAAAGTTTCATCGTGCTCCCTGTTCCTATCGGTACACCTTGCCATTGAAAACACCGGACTCACGGAATTCTGATCGGGTGTCAAACGGTTACGAAACGCAGGAAGAGTATACATGAAACACGGCGACGGTCGTTGCTTTAGATTCTATAACCGTGTTCTTTCTTGCTATACCGTTCCTATATTTAGATGTGCACTTAGCGCATCTCAAATGTTGGAACAGGTATATCTTGTGTGAATGACCGAATACGCATGATGGGACGATGCGTGTTCCCCGTTTGACGGCGGTAGAGTTCTGGTATGGGAGCGAAGCGAGAAAGAGAAAGTGCGACAGAGGCGAACAAGCGGAAAGGAGCGAGTAGATTGAACACGAGGACAACGAAGCAAATAGTAGAATCAGGGCCGTACCTGATCAGCGATGATCTGTACCTACACTTTTACTTTAGAATTGTTCATAAATTTCCGACCACTGAATTTTCAGCCTATAGTACCGTTAATATAAATTTATCAATGATTAATCAAATATTAAATATTTAATACTTAATATAAATATTCTAATATATATGTTTTAATATAAATATATAATATATAGTATAAATATGTAATGTTTATATTAAAATATTTGAGTTATATATTTATATTTGTAATATAAATATGCATCCTTATAGCCTTAATTGATTAGTTATCGGTATATTTATCTTAAGTATCCTGCTAGATAATGTCTTTTTTTGTATTTAATATAATTTTACTTACTTATAGAAAATGAAATAAGAAATATTGAATTCAAGTTTTCGAGAGTACGTTTGGAATTGTTCAAAGACATTGTAATTCATTTGAAATTTAAACGATTCATGAGAATATATAGGCGTTTCAAGTCAGATTACTTCCGTTCTGTATGCAAAAGAACGACGCGCCGACGCTTGCACTTCCTTTTTACACGATATCAAAAACAATGCGCTTTCTCACGATTCATCGGCGCATAGAATTCTCCGTGGCGTACGCATCGAGATACAGAACTAACGGAAGAAAGAAGGTAAAATCACATCTCGTTTTACGATACATTGGAACTATATAGATTTCGCGCGCTTTCCCATTTCACATCGCTCTTTCATTATCATATCGGAATTAATTTACTTATATTAATTAAAAGACACTCCATTCTACGAAAGTTTCTTTAATGTACCATCTGAAAGTGCGTTTTGTTTCTCTTCGTATAGGAACATTTAAAGATACTCTTTTTCAGGATCGTATAATTTTCTTAGAAAAATGTAGGAATAGAGTTGGTCATCATTTAAATAGTTATTTTTATAAACTATAAATACTCGTGAACACAGAATAGTATTTCGTATTGATTAAATTTAATTTAAAGCTTGAAAAACTTATCAATTATAATATTAAATATGGGTGTTCGATGAATTAAAAAAAACATGATAGATGCAAACAACTTGCTTGTTTGGAAATGATGACAATTTAGATACTACATTAGTAAATTACAGAAAATAATACTAAATAAATTAAATGTAAAATTTTTATCTATTAATCTTATATAGATCAACATTATTTAAATATTTTCTAGTCGCGGGATACAAATGTTCACACGTGCTGAAACAACCTTGGAATCAAGCAATATACCCATTACATAGCAATTTCTTGGATACTTTTTAATTATTTTGAAAATTATGGGTCTGAGATAAAATCTAACTACATCGTGTGATAAAGCAGATGTTCTTTTCACTGATGCCATCGAAGAAAGCTGTATTTCATTATGTTCTGTATTAAGAAAATAAAATATTTCTATAAGACGTAAAATGCCATCAGTGATTCTCAACGTAAAGAATGCTCGATGTTTTACATCATGTGGTAAAACGTTGCGGAAATTATTTTATTTCCTTAATGGAGAATAAAATTTGTGTTCCAATTTTCTTTGATGGTCTCTGAACGAGAAAATTCTTCTGTATTTCGTGATATGGTTAGATTATGACTCAGACTCATAAGTTCTGAAGCAATTAAGAAATATGAAACAAATTGCTGCCCATCACTCGCCTACGACATTATTTAAACATGTTTCAATCTTTGCAATCTTATAAAAGTGTATAATAAATTCATTTATTCCTAGATAAAAAAATAACAATCAATTACAATAAATAAATAAAATCCATAGAATTATTTCTTATCTGAACAGCTTTTATAGCTAGCGTATAAACAATTTTCGAAATAAAAAATTGGATTTCCTTTTTAAAATATAATTCCTCGAAAACTGATTTATAGAGACAAATGTTTTTCAAGTTTACATTCATCGCTCAAAAATTGATAAGAATCGTCTAGCTATGGCACCATAAAATAGGTATCCTACAGTAACATTAACACTTCTAAACAAAGTCGTATGAGAAAATCCATACCGTAAGGATCACCTAACCTCTAAAACGTAAGGGCCGAAGGATTTCAATAAACCGTACCACTCTACGACCGTTTAAAATTCATACACTAAAGCTCGTAATAGAGCAACCAAACTCCTATTTAATTTTACTTCGTGTAAATTCTAAACAGCTATAAACATCCGCAGGCTAATTTACCAACAAAAAAAAAATCGAAGCGCACA